TTTTTGTTGACCTTTGTCCATGGAAGGTCCCTGCAAAATTTCATTGAAATTGGTTCAGGGGTTTTGGAGAAGAAGTCGAAAATGTAAATTGTTTACGGACGCACGACGGACGACGGACGACGGACGACGACGGACAAAAGGCGATCGCAATAGGTCACTTGAGACTTTGTCTCAGGTGACCTAAAAATGTAAACGGATGGTAAAGCGCCTCTCTGAGAAACTTTTGTGGGCCGTATTGTGTGATGGTAAAGCGCCTCTCTGAGAAACTTTATAGGGCAGTATTGTGTGATGGTGAAGCGCCTCACTGAGAAACTTTAGTGGGCAGTATTGTGTGATGGTGAAGCGCCTCTCTGAGAAACTTTAGTGGGCCGTATAGTGTGATGGTAAAGCGCCTCTCTGAGAAACTTTAGTGGGCAATATTGTGTGATGGTGAAGCGCCTCTCTGAGAAACTTTAGTGGGTAGTATGTGTGATGGTGAAGAATGGACTGAGTGGAGGTAAACACGGAGGTAAAACAGGGATTGGTCAAATCCGGATCCCTTTTTATTCTCGTTACAAAACAATTGCAGGCATCCATCAGAACTTGACATAAATGGAGATTGTTTTATTAACGAAGCAAAAAAATCAGCAACATAAAAAGAGCCTAAACAGCCGCCTACCTGACAGGACTGTGTGGTGTGCCACCCTGACAGGACTGTGTGGTTTGAGTTTCACCCTGCCAGGACTGGGTGGTTTGAGTTTGCCCCCCTGACAGGACTGTGTGGTTTGAGTTTGCCACTCTGACAGGACTGTGTGGTTTGAGTTTCACCCTGACGGGACTGTGGGGTTTGGGTTTGCCACCCTGACAGGACTGTGTGGTTTGGGTTTGCCACCCTGACAGGACTGGGTGGTTTGAGTTTCACCCTGACAGGACTGTGTGGCTTGAGTTTGCCACCCTGACAGGACTATGTGGTTTGAGTTTCACTCTGACAGGACTGTGTGGTTTGAGTTTGCCACCCTGAAAGGACTGTGTGGTGTGCCACCCTGACAGGACTGTGTGGTGTGACACCCTGACAGGACTGTGTTTTGTGCCACCCTGACAGGACTGTGTTGTGTGCCAACCTGACAGGACTGTGTGGTGTGCCACCCTGACAGGACTGTGTTGTGTGCCTTCCTGACAGGGCTGTGTAGTGTGCCACCCTGACAGGACTGTGTGGTGTGCCTCCCTGACAGGGCTGTGTAGTGTGCCACCCTGACAGGACTGTGTGGTGTGCCTACCTGACAGGGCTGTGTGGTTTGAGTTTCACCCTGACAGGACTGTGCGGTTTGAGTTTGCCACCCTGACAGGACTGTGTGGCTTGAGTTTCACCCTGACAGGACTATGTGGTTTGAGCTTCACCCTGACAACACTGTGTGGTTTGTGTTTGCCACCCTGACAGGACTATGTTGTTTGAGTTTGCCACCCTTACAGGACTGTGACAGGACTGTGTGGTTTGAGTTTGCCACCCTGAAAGGACTGTGTGGTGTGCCACCCTGACAGGACTATGTGGTTTGAGTTTCACTCTGACAGGACTGTGTGGTTTGAGTTTCACCCTGACAGGGCTGTGGGGTTTGAGGTTGCCACCCTGACAGGACTGTGTGGTTTGAGTTTCGCCCTGACAGGACTATGTGGTTTGAGTTTGCCACCCTCACAGGACTGTGTGGTTTGAGTTTGCCACCCTGAAAGGACTGTGTGGTTTGAGTTTCACCCTGACAGGGCTGGGTGGTTTGAGTTTGCCACCCTGACAGGACTTTGTGGTTTGAGTTTCACCCTGACAGGACTATGTGGTTTGAGCTTCACCCTGACAACACTGTGTGGTTTGTGTTTGCCACCCTGACAGGACTATGTTGTTTGAGTTTGCCACCCTTACAGGACTGTGACAGGACTGTGTGGTTTGAGTTTGCCACCCTGAAAGGACTGTGTGGTTTGAGTTTCACCCTGACAGGCCGGTGTGGTTTGAGTTTGCAACCCTGACAGGACTGTGTGGTTTGAGTTTCCCCCTGACAGGACTGTGTGGTTTGAGTTTGCCACCCTAACAGGACTGTGTGGTTTGAGTTTCACCCTGACAGGGCTGTGTGGTTTGAGTTTGCCACTCTGACAGGACTGTGTGGTTTGAGTTTCACCCTGACAGGGCTGTGGGGTTTGAGGTTGCCACCCTGACAGGACTGTGTGGTTTGAGTTTAACCCTGACAGGACTGTGTGGTTTGAGTTTGCAACCCTGACAGGACTGTGTGGTTTGAGTTTCCCCCTGACAGGACTATGTGGTTTGAGCTTCACCCTGACAACACTGTGTGGTTTGTGTTTGCCACCCTGACAGGACTATGTTGTTTGAGTTTGCCACCCTTACAGGACTGTGACAGGACTGTGTGGTTTGAGTTTGCCACCCTGAAAGGACTGTGTGGTTTGAGTTTCACCCTGACAGGGCTTTGAGGTTTGAGTTTGCCACCCTGACAGGACTGTGTGGTCTGAGTTTCACCCTGACAGGACTGTGTGGTTTGAGTGTTACCATGATAGCACTGTGTGGTTTGAGTTTGCCACCCTGACAGGACTTTGTGGTTTGAGTTTCACCCTGACAGGACTATGTGGTATGAGTTTCACCCTGACAGGACTGTGTGGTTTGAATTTGCCACCCTGACAGGACTGTGTGGTTTGAGTTTGCCTCCCTGACAGGACTATGTGGTTTGAGTTTCACTCTGACAGGACTGTGTGGTTTGAGTTTCACCCTGCCAGGCCTGTGTGGTTTGAGTTTGCCACCCTGACGGGACTGTGTGGTTTGAGTTTAACCCTGACAGGACTGGGTGGTTTGAGTTTGCCACCCTGACAGGACTTTGTGGTTTGAGTTTCACCCTGACAGGACTGTGTGGTTTGAGTTTCCCCCTGACAGGACTATGTGGTTTGAGCTTCACCCTGACAACACTGTGTGGTTTGTGTTTGCCACCCTGACAGGACTATGTTGTTTGAGTTTGCCACCCTTACAGGACTGTGACAGGACTGTGTGGTTTGAGTTTGCCACCCTGGCAGGACTGTGTGGTTTGAGTTTCACCCTGACAGGGCTGTGTGGTTTGAGTTTGCCACCCTGACGGGACTGTGTGGTTTGAGTTTAACCCTGACAGGACTGGGTGGTTTGAGTTTGCCACCCTGACAGGACTTTGTGGTTTGAGTTTCACCCTGACAGGACTATGTGGTATGAGTTTCACCCTGACAGGACTGTGTGGTTTGAGTTTCCCCCTGACAGGACTGTGGGGTTTGAGTTTGCCACCCTGAAAGGACTGTGTGGTGTGCCACCCTGACAGGACTGTGTTGTGTGCCTTCCTGACAGGGCTGTGTAGTGTGCCACCCTGACAGGGCTGTGTGGTGTGCCACCCTGACAGGACTGTATGGTGTGCCACCCTGACAGGACTGTGTGGTGTGCTACCCTGACAGGGCTGTGTAGTGTGCCTCCCTGACAGGACTGTGTGGTGTGCCTACCTGACAGGGCTGTGTGGTTTGAGTTTCACCCTGACAGGACTGTGGGGTTTGAGTTTGCCCCCCTGACAGGACTGTGGGGTTTGAGTTTCACCCTGACAGGACTGTGTGGTTTTAGTTTGCCACCCTGACAGGCCTGTGTGGTTTGAGTTTCACCCTGACAGGACTATGTGGTTTGAGCTTCACCCTGACAACACTGTGTGGTTTGAGTTTGCCACCCTGACAGGACTGTGTGGTTTGAGTTTGCAACCCTGACAGGACTGTGTGGTTTGAGGTTGCGACCCTTACAGGACTATGTGGTTTGAGTTTGCCACCCTCACAGGACTGTGTGGTATGAGTTTGCCACCCTGACAGGACTGTGTGGTTTGAGTTTGCACCCCTGACAGGACTGTGTGGTTTGAGTTTCACCCCGACAGTACTGTGTGGTTTGAGTTTGCCACCCTGACAGGACTTTGTGGTTTGAGTTTCACCCTGACAGGACTGTGTGGTTTGAGTTTCCCCCTGACAGGACTATGTGGTTTGAGCTTCACCCTGACAACACTGTGTGGTTTGAGTTTGCCACCCTGACAGGACTGTGTAGTTTGAGTTTGCCACACTGACAGGACTGTGTGGTTTGAGTTTGCCACCCTGAAAGGACTGTGTGGTTTGAGTTTGCCACCCTGACAGCACTGTGTTGTTTGAGTTTGCCAACCTGACATGACTGTGTGGTTTGAGTTTGCCACCCTGACATGACAGGACTATGTGGTATGAGTTTCACCCTGACAGGACTGTGTGGTTTGAGCTTCACCCTGACAACACTGTGTGGTTTGAGTTTGCCACCCTGACAGGACTTTGTGGTTTGAGTTTCACCCTGACAGGACTGTGTGGGTTGAGTTTGCAACCCTGACAGGACTATGTTGTTTGAGTTTGCCACCCTTACAGGACTGTGACAGGACTGTGTGGTTTGAGTTTGCCACCCTGAAAGGACTGTGTGGTTTGAGTTTGCCACCCTGACATGACTGTGTGGTTTGAGTTTGCCACCCTGACATGACAGGACTATGTGGTATGAGTTTCACCCTGACAGGACTGTGTGGTTTGAGTTTCTCCCTGACAGGACTGTGTGGTTTGAGTTTGCAACCCTGACAGGACTGTGTGGTTTGAGTTTGCGCCCCTTACAGGACTATGTGGTTTGAGTTTGCCACCCTGACAGGACTGTGTGGCTTGAGTTTCACCCTGACAGGACTATGTGGTTTGAGTTTGCAACCCTGACAGGACTGTGTGGTTTGAGTTTGCAACCCTGACAGGACTGTGTGGTTTGAGTTTGCGCCCCTTACAGGACTATGTGGTTTGAGTTTGCCACCCTGAAAGGACTGTGTGGTTTGAGTTTGCCACCCTGACATGACTATGTGGTTTGAGTTTGCCACCCTGACAGGACTGTGTAGTTTGAGTTTGCCACCCTGACAGGACTGTGTGGCTTGAGTTTCACCCTGACAGGACTATGTGGTTTGAGCTTCACCCTGACAACACTGTGTGGTTTGTGTTTGCCACCCTGACAGGACTATGTTGTTTGAGTTTGCCACCCTTACAGGACTGTGACAGGACTGTGTGGTTTGAGTTTGCCACCCTCACAGGACTGTGTGGTATGAGTTTGCCACCCTGACAGGAGTGTGTGGTTTGAGTTTCACCCTGACAGGACTATGTGGTATGAGTTTCACCCTGACAGGACTGTGTGGTTTGAGTTTCCCCCTGACAGGACTATGTGGTTTGAGCTTCACCCTGACAACACTGTGTGGTTTGAGTGTGCCACCCTGACAGGACTGTGTGGTTTGAGTTTTACCCTGACAGGACTGTGTGGTTTGAGTTTGCCTCCCTGACAGGACTGTGTGGTTTGAGTTTCACCCCGACAGTACTGTGTGGTTTGAGTTTGCCACCCTGACAGGACTGTGTAGCTTGAGTTTGCCCCCCTGACAGGACTGTGTGGTTGAGTTTGCAACCCTGACATGACTGTGTGGTTTGAGTTTCACCCTGACATGACTATGTGGTTTGAGTTTCACCCCGACAGTACTGTGTGGTTTGAGTTTGCCACCCTGACAGGACTTTGTGGTTTGAGTTTCATCCTGACAGGACTGTGTGGTTTGAGTTTCACCCTGCCAGGACTATGTGGTTTGAGTTTCGCCCTGACAGGACTGTGTGGTTTGAGTTTGCAACCCTGACAGGACTGTGTGGTTTGAGTTTGCAACCCTGACAGGACTATGTTGTTTGAGTTTGCCACCCTTACAGGACTGTGTGGTTTGAGTTTCACTCTGACAGGACTGTGTGGTTTGAGTTTGCCACCCTGACAGGACTGTGTGGTTTGAGTTTCACCCCGACAGTACTGTGTGGTTTGAGTTTGCCACCCTTACAGGACTGTGTGGTTTGAGTTTCACCCTGACAGGACTGTGTGGTTTGAGTTTCACCCTGACAGGACTGTGTGGGTTGAGTTTGCAACCCTGACAGGACTATGTTGTTTGAGTTTGCCACCCTTACAGGACCGTGTGGTTTGAGTTTCACTCTGACAGGACTGTGTGGGTTGAGTTTGCCACCCTGACAGGACTGTGTAGCTTGAGTTTGCCCCCCTGACAGGACTGTGTGGTTGAGTTTGCAACCCTGACATGACTGTGTGGTTTGAGTTTCACCCTGACATGACTATGTGGTTTGAGTTTCACCCCGACAGTACTGTGTGGTTTGAGTTTGCCACCCTCACAGGACTGGGTGGTATGAGTTTGCCACCCTGACAGGACTGTGTGGGTTGAGTTTCACCCTGACAGGACTGTGTGGTTTGAGTTTCACCCCGACAGTACTGTGTGGTTTGAGTTTGCCACCCTGACAGGACTGGGTAGCTTGAGTTTGCCACCCTGACAGGACTGTGTGGTTTGCGTTTCACTCTGACAGGACTGTGTGGTTTGAGTTTGCAACCCTGACAGGACTATGTGGTTTGAGTTTGCCACCCTTACAGGACTGTGTGGTATGAGTTTGCCACCCTCACAGTACTGTGTGGTATGAGTTTGCCACCCTGACAGGACTGTGTGGGTTGAGTTTCACCCTGACAGGACTGTGTGGTTTGAGTTTCACCCCGACAGTACTGTGTGGTTTGAGTTTGCCACCCTCACAGGACTGTGTGGTGTGAGTTTGCCACCCTGACAGGACTGTGTGGTATGAGTTTGCCACCCTGACAGGACTGTGTGGTTTGAGTTTTACCCTGACAGGACTATGTGTTTTGAGTTTCACCCTCACAGGACTGTGTGGTTTGAGTTTCACCCTGATTCTGCAGGGGCCACACAGATATGCAGTGGTATACAGCAGGCCTTTTCTTTCCCGAACCTGCACAGGTCAGACAGGACTGAGAGTTAATGCAAAGAAAACACAACCAATATGTAAGGAGAAGAACTGTAAGGAGTACGAAGCTTCAGCTAATGTGGATTTATCATAAAAAATAAAAGAAATTGTGAAGAAAATACAGAAAGTAGGTTTAGACGGAAAAGGGCTATTCTAAAGATCAAGGGAGGCCTGGTTATCTTCTATTTTATCCACAAAGAACGACAACAATTATCTCCGTTCTTGCATATGGAAGCTATGTATTGCAAACTAATCAAAAAGTAAGACAAAAAGATGAGAAACGTCCAGAGCGTGTGCATATGTATGATACTATAGATAAAATTGACAAGGGAAAAACAAACGAAGATGAATAGTAGACGCACAACCTAAGCCACATTATACACTAAAGAAGACAGAACTAGATCATTGAGCATTGTGTAATAGCTCCAATTCGGCAGCTACAAGGGAGAAGAAAAAAGAAGGCATGAAACGTCTTGGTGAAGAACGATTTAAAAAATAAAGAAACTAATCGGCGGGATGGACCAGGCTGGAGTGCAGACAGGGCGATTTTCCTAGACAGAACACGGTGGCATTAGGACCTTATTTGCCACAGGGCACGATGAGAACACCTTTGTCTTTTTGACATCTAAAACCATGTCAATTGGGACTATTGTAAGGATATTAAATGATTTTAAAAAGTGCACCTGTTCATAACTAGGAAATGTTTCTTAAACATTCAATATACATGTATACCTATGCCCCCTGCTATCGTCTTGATTCAAATAGAGCTAAACACCAAATCTAACAAAAAAATGAGGCTTAACTGAAGTCTAACCAAAACAAGTAGGAGCTAAACACAAATTAAAACCAAAGTCAGCGAAGCGGGAAATATAGCTCATAATCGAGGACAGAGGAGCTCTAATTCATATCAGAAATATCAGAAAGACGAACAGATCAACCGACGGAAAACACAAACATTTTTGGCGGGGTCATATCATTTAATGACGCTAACCGAACCGGAAATCTGTCTCGTATCGCAAGCCAAGAATTTGATGAAAATAATGTACAAACGTTAACAGTTTCGTGAACTTTCCTGTCCCCTTCACAATGCTGCCTCATTATCATACCTGTTCCCGGAAGGCGTCCGCGTGCTCCTTAAACCCGATGGATTCAAAAAAGGTCACCACCTCTTCGATTGACCAACGGGAGGCGTCTGGGTAATGGCTAGCATCCGGTCTGGATATTGCAGCTTTGGCTAACTTCACAAAAACCGGAAGTCTGGGGAAAGACACAACATGTTATCAAATACGGATATTCTTAAAAGACATAAAGTATGTCAAGGTAATGTATGCAGAGAGTTGTTTTCGCCAGAACTAACGCGGGGATTTAAGACCACGACGAATAATCCTAATAGGATTTTCATCAATAAATGGCACACAAAGAAAATTCCCGTTTGCACGTAATGAAACCTGAACAGTGTTCGAGTTCTAACAATGTGAATACAGGCATTCAAGTACTCAAAACAGACTGCTGCCTTCATCTCACAATAAAAAACTAAACATAAGTACTCAAAACAGACTGCTGCCTCCATCTCACAATACAAAATTAAACATAAGTACTCAAAACAGACTGCTGCCTTCACCTCACAATACAAAACTAAGCATAAGTACTCAAAACAGACTGCTGCCTCCACCTCACAATACAAAACTAAACATAAGTACTCATAACAGACTGCTGCCTTCACCTCACAATACAAAACTAAACATAAGGACTCAAAACAGACTGCTGCCTTCACCTCACAATACAAAACTAAACATAAGTACTCAAAACAGACTGCTGTCTTCACCTCACAATACAAAACTAAACATAATCAATTAATCATTGCCCCAGACGATGTTTCTCCGACCCCTGATTTATCTCAGATCCCTGATTTTTCATGAGATGCTTGTTGGATTAGCATAAGGTGGGAAATTTTGGGTATGAAAAGTTCGGCTATCAGTACCAATAGTAATAATAAAAAGAAGATGTCTAATATATATGTTGTAAATCTGAAGAATAGAAAGTATTCATGTTAACCTTATTCGCATGTATCCAGCCTGCTATAATTGTCTTTCATTTGATCTACTAGTTATCTTCATGTTAATATATCTATCCTTTATCTTTGTGTTGACATGAAATGTTTTATATTGCAGTGGAATATTCCGTCAGGTTGACGTTTTATCCTTGAAAAACATCTCGATTCTTGTCCTGTTGGTTTATTTTACAATTTACCTCGACAGAATATGTTTCAACCGTTTGACACGGCACAGAACATCTGATTTCGACAACGAAACAGCAGGTTCTACCCTAAGTTACTTAACCCTATATTGACGTAAACAGAGATCACGTATTGGAGTATTAAGGCAGATTACAATAACCCGCTTTTCGTTCACGCACCTGTTGTCCAGGGTTTCTGCGTCGTGTACAGGGGAATCGCACGGCGTTGGTAAACCGGATGTGGTGCTGCAGCCGGCTGAAATCAACACCATGGAGTCATATCAGAAAACCTTTAATTCCATCTCTGCAAAAAGACTTATCTATATATTAACATGTATATAATTTCAACATCAAATGCTATCTGCAGTCGATATTTCGTAGACGTAATCAAAGCTTTTTCATCATAACTTTCCGCTATCCTGATTTGAAGGCAGCAGGAAAGAGACTAACATACACGTTCAGATCAGAAACAATATCTTTTAAATGTACTGATAAAATATTTTTAAAAAAATCAATTATGAACGAAAAACAAAATACAGCTTTTCATGTGGTTTCGGAGTTTCCACTTCACAGTTATGATGCGTTGTCCTACGACGATGACTCGGCCTTGACATCATTTATTGTATTGTCATATCGTGCTGTCCAATGTCAACATGGCCTTACCCACACCTGTTCTGTAGATAAAGGACACACTACCGGGGTTCCTTGTTAATTTCTTCAGATTATTGTTCCATCGATTGATGGACAGCAAAACCCTGGACTCCCTACCACAACACATCCAAGGTAGTACAGATTGTCGAACGGTTTAGAGATGATCCGATTGACAGATTTATCAGAGCAGACGATCTGGTAACCGCCTAACAGTATGTAATTCCACTGCATATGTAATATGCATGTGAACAAGATCAATACATCCTTTTATTTTTTTATGAAAATACTCATAAAGTTCACGAACACATGCGTGCGATGACAATACAACCTGTTAAAGCCGGGTAGTCGCGTGATCAGCGCTGTTACTATTCTTTTGGGTTGGTTTCTTGTTCCGAAGGTGCATGGTATACGGTCTGTTTATTTTTCAATTTATTCTAATCGTCCAACTATGAAGTACGCATTACACATTCACAAAGCACAATATCGGACAAAAACAAACTTGATCTGATTTAAAATGTATCAGTTCGTTAAAGCTCCACGCTTTACACAAGATACCAAATAAAAATATGATATACGTGTTCTTACGTGTACGGTCAACTGCTTATTGATTTATTGGGTGGATTTCTCTCAAAATCATAAACGTAGGTTTATATCTTAGATAAACAAATGCAATGTTTATGCAAAACGAAATCAAAACTGTTTACAGTACGAGACATTTAAATGCAGGACAAGCTGATGGAAAAATGAATAATATTTTTTTTTAAAAACAAGATCCTGTCGTTTCTCATCGTATTTCCCGAATATCTTCACTCATTCGTGTAAAATATTCCAGCTACTACACACGCAAATACCAGTCAATTATTCATCCAACACGACACAGCCACATTTAATATCAATATGAAATAGTTCGCGTACACTATATACCGACATCCTAACCGTGCTGTTACCAACCTATCTTCTTACAGTCCTGTAATACGGTCTCAGCTCATTAATATACCGGAATTCGATCAAACAGTGAGCTATTTTTGTTAACTTTGTAGATTTGTTATGGATATCACGTTACAGTAACGGAATCACCTAAAAATCCAGAAGATTTAACTACTATTACATCACTTGCTGCATGTCATTACGATACGATTTTAAATTACATGATTCATACGCTCACGTGTGTTATGGGGAGGATCAATATGGCCGACTTCCGGTGTCTCGTCGATGCATGGGGTTTCTACATCGGCCATAGTGACGCCCTGATCTGTACATTCTGCACATATCCATTTCCCTAGAAATAAAAATTAACAACATATTCATGCCATTGTTCCATGATCTGTATGAATACGTACAATTATTAACTTTTATATGATGCTCTCATTCTTGTAGATGTAGTATCCATACTTCTGATCACCTCAATATCAGATCGTACATTTCTTTAAAAATAACCCCTGATAAACCTGTAATACAGGTAAAATCGTGTGATGTTCTTCGTAACAGCCGACGAGTCTAGCTCCGTTACGGAGAGAACAAAATGATACTGTTCTTATCATAAAATATAAACCACTACATATCTATTCGTTTACCTCAAAGTACCACAAAACGATTAGACACAAGTTATAAACATATCCTAAATTCTCTTTTCTAAATGGTATTTAAGATGTTTGAGAACAGAAACAAAACTGTTCAAGTTTACTGTTTATTATTTTATTATTACAATTAAGTAAGGGTATCTATAATACCGTTCATGGATCTCCTTTATTTCCAGATTTTCTGCTCCTTAGTGATGTTGTTGTGTTATATGAGAAACCGCTAGTACAAGCGTTTTATAGGACGTGCGTTTCGAAGCTACAAATATGTTACAAGCTTTCATTTTGAAAAATCTGTCAACTAAGCGTATAACTAATGTAACAGTACACAAAGTTAACTGTCTCGGTGTGGCGTATTGGGGTAAGTTCCTGGTTACGACAATGGTGATGGTGGTACATTAAATCGTCTAAATGAGGAAAGTTAATGTTTAACAACTTCCTTATAAATACACAGTTTGTGTGACAAAAGTGTTTGATAATATATAACAAACAGATTTGATCACGTACTTGCATTTGAATTTCCTTGAACGCATTTTATTCGTCAATTTTTGAGGCTGGTTAAGAGGCAAATTTCTTTTCTAAATGATTCCCTAACTTCCTTAATCAAATCGTAGATGTGTACCGTCTATAAATAGTGTGTGAAAATGACAGCCTAAATTTTCATTCTAAAGTTGTTTTTAGAGGTGAAATTATATTAATTTATTTTAAAATTTAAAATATTGTAAATGTCATATCCGAATGATTAGCCAGTTTAGCATCAATATGATAGAGTATGTTTGTAAACTTTATTTTACAGCAATTAGGAAACAGGTTATTTCAAGTTAATTTCCATCTGTATGATTATTCAAAGAAGGAGCATATTGACCCTTTAACAATTAAAGAGACAATCCGGCAATCAGGTAGTTAAAAAAAGGCCTCTGACTAACCCTCCAAAACAGACTAATACAGTCGGCACGTATCGTACCTAATACCAAGTTACCGAATTATCATAATCTAGACCATTTGTATTAGTAGCCATTTCCGCACGGAATACAACAAGAAATGTTTGCACCTATTAAGAGAAAATCCAGAAATCAAAGGGCCCAAAAACGGCCTTATAAGCACCCATCCTTCTTATAGTGTTTAGAGTATATCAAGGACAATCGAACATTACAAGCAAATCAAGGGTACTGGAGACTAAGAGGTCCAACTGTACATTTATTGTATTCCTTGTTGAAGTGATACTTACAACCTATAAAAGCTGACCTGTTTACTTAACATGCAAAAACGATTCACTTGTTTATTGTTTAACACGTGGCTGACCGATCTTGAATTTAATTCAACCTCTGTTATTGTGTATATATTAATTGATGTAAATGTTATTGTGTATATATTAATTGATGTAAAAGTTATTGTGTATATATTAATTGATGTAAAAGTTATTGTGTATATATTAATCGATGTAAATGTTATTGTGTTTATATTAATTGAGGGAAATGTTATTGTGTTTATATTAATTGATGTACATGTTATTGTGTATATATTAATTGAGGTAAATGTTATTGTGTTTATATTAATTGATGTACATGTTATTGTGTATATATTAATTGATGTAAAAGTTATTGTGTATATATTAATCGATGTAAATGTTATTGTGTAGATATTAATTGATGTAAATGTTATTGTGTATATATTAACTGATGTAAATGTTATTGTGTTTATATTAATTGAGGTAAATGTTATTGTGTTTATATTAATTGATGTAAATGTTATTGTGTATATATTAATTGATGTAAATGTTATTGTGGAGATATTAATTGATGTAAATGTTATTGTGTATATATTGATTGATGTAAATGTTATTGTGTATATATTAACTGATGTAAATGTTATTGTGTTTATATTAATTGATGTAAATGTTATTGTGTATATATTAACTGATGTAAATGTTATTGTGTATATATTAATTATGTAAATGTTATTGGGTATATATTAATTGATGTAAATGTTATTGTGGAGATATTAATTGATGTAAATGTTATTGTGTATATATTAATTATGTAAATGTTATTGGGTATATATTAATTGATGTAAATGTTATTGTGGAGATATTAATTGATGTAAATGTTATTGTGTATATATTGATTGATGTAAATGTTATTGTGTATATATTAACTGATGTAAATGTTATTGTGTATATATTAATTATGTAAATGTTATTGGGTATATATTAATTGATGTAAATGTTATTGTGTTTATATTAATTGATGTAAACGTTATTGTGTATATATTAATTGATGTAAATGTTATTGTGTATATATTGATTGATGTAAATGTTATTGTGTATATATTAATTATGTAAATGTTATTGGGTATATATTAATTGATGTAAATGTTATTGTGTAGATATTAATTGATGTAAATGTTATTGTGTATATATTGATTGATGTAAATGTTATTGTGTATATATTAACTGATGTAAATGTTATTGTGTTTATATTAATTGAGGTAAATGTTATTGTGTTTATATTAATTGATGTAAACGTTATTGTGTATATATTAATTGATGTAAATGTTATTGTGTATATATTGATTGATGTAAATGTTATTGTGTATATATTAATTATGTAAATGTTATTGGGTATATATTAATTGATGTAAATGTTATTGTGGAGATATTAATTGATGTAAATGTTATTGTGTATATATTGATTGATGTAAATGTTATTGTGTATATATTAATTATGTAAATGTTATTGGGTATATATTAATTGATGTAAATGTTATTGTGTATATATTAATTATGTAAATGTTATTGTGTATATATTAATTGATGTAAATGTTATTGTGTATATATTAATTGATGTAAATGTTATTGTGTATATATCAATTGATGTAAATGTTATTTGAGATTATAATAGTATACAAACCTAAACTTGTATTACTTTTGCTTAAAATAATTTGCATGTTCTCGGTATTGTAGACCTTGTCAGTTTAACGTTGTTGATTCGTGCAGACTAAGTTACCTTTAAGATTTATAATCTAAATAAATAATAGTGTGTAGTTGTCACTCGAAGGTATTGCGTGGGCGTCCAGCGGTTTTCTATTGAACGTAAACATAGAATTGTAATTTCCGTGGCCTAAGTGATGGTGGAACTGCCTGGCCGACTGGTTTATTAATTTCCGTGGCCTAAGTGTTGGTGGGGACTGCCTGGCCGACTGGTGATTAATTTCCGTGGCCTAAGTGTTGGCGGGAACTGACTGGCCGACTGGTGATTAATTTCCGTGGCCTAAGGGTTGGTGGGAACTGACTGGCCGACTGGTGATTAATTTCCGCGGCCTAAGTGTTGGCGGGGACTGCCTGGCCGTCTGGGGATTAATTTCCGTGACCAAAGTGTTGGTGGGCACTGCCTGGCCGACTGGTGATTAATTTCCGTGACCGAAGTGTTGGTGGGGACTGCCTGGCCGACTGGTGATTAATTTCCGTGACCAAAGTGTTGGTGGGGACTGCCTGGCCGACTGGTGATTAATTTCCGTGACCAAAGTGTTGGTGGGGACTGCCTGGCCGACTGGTGATTAATTTCCGTGACCGAAGTGTTGGTGGGGACTGCCTGGCCGATTGGTGATTAATTTCCGTGGCCTAAGTGTTGGTGGGGACTGCCTGGCCGACTGGTGATTAATTTCTGTGGCCTAAGTGTTGGTGGGGACTGCCTGGCTGACTGGTGATTAATTTCCGTGGCCTAAGTGTTGGTCGGGACTGCCTGGCTGACTGGTGATTAATTTCCGTGGCCTAAGTGTTGGTCGGGACTGCCTGGCCGACTGGTGATTAATTTCCGAGGCCTAAGTGTTGGTCGGGACTGCCTGGCCGACTGGTGATTAATTTCCGTGGCCTAAGTGTTGGCGGGGACTGCCTGGCCGACTGGTGATTAATTTCTGTGGCCTAAGTGCTGGTGGGAACTGATCACTGGCCGACTGGTGAGTTACACCACTATCATATCTAGACGTGGCCACCTCTTGTAGGTAGCACATTAAATATACTGGAGATAAAAGGTCACACTTAATGACGTAGTAGAGGACACAGTAAGTCACTGACCTGACGGTTTATCTGGCACCTGTGGCTGGTGACAGTTCATGTGGTAGCCTTTGTCACAAGCATCGCAGAACAGCATGGAGTCCTGATAAAATAATAATGTATGTTTACTGATAAAATAATAATGTATGTTTTATACATCGCAGAACAGCATGGAGTCCTGATAAAATAATAATGTAAGTTTTTTAAATGGCAGCACGGCATGGAATCATTGTAAAATAATCATTTAGGTTTTGTACATGTACATCGCAGAACAGCGTGAAGTTCTAGTAAAATAATGATGTAGGTTTCACACATGGCAGAACAACATGGAATCCTAGTAAAATGATAATGTAGGTTTTATACAATATGACCAATTTGCATGCTTTCCATTAAATACTATTGTGACAAATACATGGAGTTCAAAACTCACATACAGAGATTTCAAATAAATTGTACACCAATACAAATAGGCTTAGGAAACGAAAGATACGAATGTAACGGACATTTGATGTTATGGTACAGTACAGAGAGGTCACTGCTATCTTACGCTATTGCACCATGTCATATGTGTCTGAATCATGTACTCGGACATCAGCAAGGCTACTACTCGTCAATATATCTTCTGTAGTACTTTCTCTACCATTCTCGAGTCCGAGATTAATGACAGACGAACAATGTTATGACCTGATCTTTAATTAACTTGTATATATCTTCTTTAGATTGGAGGACATAAAGAAATAGTTATAATAATAATGGAAACAGTATAAGGAACGCAATGCCTACACAATACAGGGTCTAGCATACCCGAGTCCACCAGGTGAACAGTTTTTTTGGGGGCTTGGACAGAGAACTTTGGTTTCGCCAGATATTTTTTGCGGTCGCAGTTACATGTAATTGCGAATTTTAATTGTACTTTACAAATTATAAAATTATTAAATCAATGGCATACAATCTCATGAATGAAATTTTGCAAAGATGCTGTTTCTAGCAGTGTAAGAAACCAGACCCACCCTCTCGGAAATGAAGTGAGGTAAAGTAACAGAACATCGATCATGATATTAATTCAATCGATGAACTGTACATCGCTCCTTGGTAAAACTGTACACTGATTCAACCTTTAATCAATACCGATGGGGTTTGTTTTCTCTGATTACCTAGATACCATGACGTATATTTCTGTCATTAATATCTGTTGATCGGCACTACACAAACAGCAGTGTATTGACGTATCTGCTTAAACACTGTTCGGTAACCGTTAATATTCTGTATACAACTTTCTAATAACGTCATCATCACCCTATACCTGTATATGTTGCTAGTTGGATGCGCTATTTTACACCTTGTTACAAACATTCTTAATTCGGGAGCAGCTTTCAACACCGTGTCTTTTTGAAGATGTACACTATATTAGGAAAAATATTACCAATAGAAAATTCCTTTTTGCACTTGTTCAAGAACTGGTCCATATTTAACCCCATCTTTGCCCTTACTCGTTGGGATGTTCATATGTTTACCTCCCACGCCCAGTTAACAATATTTAAGCCCCTCCCCCCGCGCCAGAGACTTACTGGGTCCCCGGAGTCGAGACAGAGACAACAGGTCTTGCAGTCCATACATTGCCACGGATACTGACTCGCTCGCTGTGCCAACACTTCCGAATATTCCATACATGTCGGATGAGCTGAAATCAGGAATGTCAAACGTATTATATTGTGAACGATTCTCACTTCAAGACATTCCTATTACACACGGCTGAGGAAAATTGTATCGATCCTCTACGCTTATTATTGTCTAATTTTAATGATGACCTAAATAGCATGTTAAAAACCTATTCTGTCATCTGTTTCCCTTCTACCAAATATAATGTACATTGATCCAGTTTGAAGTGTCCCCTTTCTGAACAGATTCCTGTTTAAAATAGAAAACCTGTTTAAATCAGACATCTCAGTTTTACTTTATATGTACCCCTGTATAATCCGGACTAACAGGTAAATCCTGCTGGACGTCGGTTTAAACAGGTTTCACCGTCTCGGTAATCCAATCACCGTTAATCTGATTGTCCCAGTACTATATACAACCGAAGACTTAGGGCACCGACACTCTCCATCCTATCCCTTTTGACAGTAAATAGGTGTCTGGATAACCGCAGGTCGTATTATACTCAACAAACTCCTGTTCAATACACTTAGCATAAGAACAGTAACATAAGAACAGCATACAAATCCAGATGTACCGTTCTCGACAACACATATTTCCTGTATGTGTATACCGACAGCGGAACCTTTGAACTTCAACGATATCTAAAGATCCCCCTGGTGAAATCGATAGGTGTTGTATGTCGACATTAGGTGTCTTCCATGTTTGTTTTTCACGTATTAGTCACAATGACCTTTGTGGACATGGAGATTTTAAACAGGTTAAACAGCGTAAGTTCAAAGGAAAGAAAACAAGTACTGTACCTAGAATTTTAATTTTGATACATTTGTCTTTTTTGCCTAAATAAACGAAGTGTTTCAGAACGTCATAAACAGCAGAAAAGTCAAGTGGACAATCGTGACATGTTAAATTACCTACATTGATCTGAAACGTGACAATTATCACCAACTGACACCGTACTAGGTGGATCAGGAATACAAACGAAGCTGTGTCTGGTTCAAACAGTTCATGATAATTTGTTAATACTGAAGTAGACAACGAATTTTACTTGCTCTTCTTATCCTTAAATGACCACCATGGAATTGTCTTACGTTATAATCGTCATTATCCATCCTAATAGACACCTATACAAGGAAATAATACCGAAATGTTAACCTAAATATCGCGATAAAGCTCCATTGATTAGTTCACAGTTCTTGTCTGTCAAACTGTAGTCAATGTAATTTTATTTGCACATTGATATTTACATACTAATTTAATGGCGATATGAACATAACAAAAATATTAGTATAAACAATATCATTTTAAGTAGAGTATGCATTGCTGATTACACATGTACACCCTCCTCAGTTCTAATCCCTGTGTTATAAATGGAAAAGTCTTCAATATAATCACCGGACGTTAAGAAGATATTATTGTACTTTAACTTTCCTCCTCAGACAAGTCTGACTGGTTAGTATACCTAAAATTATATAAATTGACCTGGACATCGTGTTTACATTACAGCTTATTTACATGTATGTTTATTGTAAACATCTGACTTTGATATTGTGACACCTGTTCCCGTCACCAATACTACGCAGGGTCCAGTAGGTCCCGTATCTAACCATGCCTCTATTGGTCACATCAACAACGACACGAAAACAACACAGGTGGGTAACGCCCGTATCTAACCATGCTTCTATTGGTCACATCAACAACGACACGACAACAACACAGGGTGGGAAACGCCCGCTCCGTCTATACCTAAGCTTCATTACAACTAATTGTAGAAACGACAACATGCTTCAACAGCCGCGTACGAATTAACTTCGGTAAAAGGAAAACCCAACTTCAGTTAAGTCTTCCGTTTCATCGATTCAACGAAATAATCGCAAAAACCATACGTAGGGCTACAGATGCAATCAATATACGGCGGGAGATACAATCAATGGTTAAATTGGCGATAGTTTGAGTTTTGGATGCCGAACTCTCCATCTGACGACGTCGCTGAGGACGAACACTTGATATAGTCTGGCTACTCGATACGCCCGTCTATCGGTCTAAGTTCAGGCGTAACAAGCACGGACATAATTCAATATCAGAAAAAAACCTTCAACAGGGATATAGTGTTTGCAAAAAGGTGGAAAACCAATTTGTAATGTAGATTTAATGGCCATCTACTTAATGAAGCTTGAAGCAAATACATCGGTCCACTTTTTGAAAGCCTCGTTAGTTCAAAGACAATCTGACGGGTTCTTTTTTTATCAAATGTTGTTAAAAACAAATTGAATTCGAAAAAGGATATTGCGATATGGATAGGATTTCAAGAAGCAACAAAAAATCGAAAATGTCTAAGACGTTTTACAAATAGAAAATATTGTTAAGAATAGTTTAGTAAACGTCGCCTCAAGCTGTTGATTCTTGATATAGCAGATAAATCAGTGTTTGTTTATAAAATTTCATGCAAAGTACGATAAAAATAATAAACAGCGCATTTTTTCAGTTCTGTACATTATTAATGATTGCTTTATCAGAAATATATTACCTTTTCCAACCAATCAAGTTTATCTAGTTTTCACCTAAACCCAGAGTATTGACAGAGATATAACTACAGAACGATACACCATGCTATAGAAGTACCCACTATCCTAGTGACGTGTATCCCAGTGTAAACAGAAATATCTAATGTCGGATGTTTTCTCATTAACTTTCAATGAAATAGTCTTCAAACAGAACAAGTGTACATAATAACATTACAAAGAAAACGTTCAATGTTGTGCAGAAATATCACTGAAATAATGTAACAGAACTCCCAACAAGTGATTCGCAGTGATGTGAGAAATTGCACAAAAGTCAGAACCTTGTGCAATGTCGAAATCTGTGCGATTTTTTTTTACTGAAATTAATATCACAAACTTCATACCCATAAATCAATCAATTAATATCAATCAATCAATAAATCAAAATCAATCAATATCAATCAATAATCAATATCAATCAATAATCAATCGATAGATCGATCAATCAATAATCACTATCAATATCAATCAATCAATAATCATTAACAATAATCACTATTAATATCGATCAATATTCAACCAATCAATATCAATCAATCAATATCAATCAACCAATATCAATCAATCAATATCAATCAATCAATAAACAAATCAATATCAATCAATATTCAATATCAATCAATTAATCAATATCAATCAAAATCAATCAATATCGATCAATCAATCAATATTCAATATCAATCAATCAATATCAATCAATAAATTAATTAATATTGATCAATTAATATCAATCAATTAATCAATCAATCAATATCAATCAATCAATATCAATCAATCAATACCAATCAATCAATACCAATCAATCCATCAATCAGTATTGTACTTTTTTCAGATACAAATGCAGATTGATGTCAAACCATATGAATCTGGTATGTAGTCTATAAAATATGAGAGAAGGCTGTAAAATACAAATATAGTCTATTACCAACGCTGTTTATAGAGGCTAAGACAGCCTTTTGATTTTACAGTCTTTTATATCAGATTACTACGGTCAAACGGAGGACAAGGAGGCCTCTGGACCTGTCCCTGATATATTTGTACACAGCATAACTCTACCAATAGCCTGAGACAGACGGTAATATCTGGACCCTTGACCCGTGTACCTCTAGCTGAGACAGACGGTAATAGCTGGACCCTTGACCCGTGTAACTCTAGCTGAGACAGACCTTAATATATGGACCCTTGATCCGTGTAATAGCCTGAGACAGACGGTAATATCTGGACCCTTGACCCGTGTACCTCTAGCTGAGACAGACGGTACACGTAATATCTGGACCCTTGACCCGTGTACCTCTAGCTGAGACAGACGGTACATGTAATATCTGGACCCTTGACCCATGTACCTCTAGCTGAGACAGACGGTAATAGCTGGACCCTTGACCCGTGTACCTCTAGCTGAGACAGACGGTAATATCTGGACCCTTGACCCGTGTACCTCTAGCTGAGACAGACGGTAATATCTGGACCCTTGACCCGTGTACCTGTAGCTGAGACAGACGGTACATGTAATATCTGGACCCTTGACCCGTGTACCTCTAGCTGAGACAGACGGTAATATCTGGACCCTTGACCCGTGTACCTCTAGCTGAGACAGACGGTAATATCTGGACCCTTGACCCGTGTACCTCTAGCTGAGACAGACGGTACTAGCTGGACCCTTGACCCGTGTACCTGTAGCTGAGACAGACGGTACATGTAATATCTGGACCCTTGACCCGTGTACCTCTAGCTGAGACAGACGGTAATATCTGGACCCTTGACCCGTGTACCTCTAGCTGAGACAGACGGTAATATCTGGACCCTTGACCCGTGTACCTCTAGCTGAGACAGACGGTAATATCTGGACCCTTGACCCGTGTACCTCTAGCTGAGACAGACGGTAATATCTGGACCCTTGACCCGTGTACCTCTAGCTGAGACAGACGGTAATATCTGGACCCTTGACCCGTGTACCTGTAGCTGAGACAGACGGTACATGTAATATCTGGACCCTTGACCCGTGTACCTCTAGCTGAGACAGACGGTAATATCTGGACCCTTGACCCGTGTACCTCTAGCTGAGACAGACGGTAATATCTGGACCCTTGACCCGTGTACCTCTAGCTGAGACAGACGGTAATATCTGGACCCTTGACCCGTGTACCTCTAGCTGAGACAGACGGTAATATCTGGACCCTTGACCCGTGTACCTCTAGCTGAGACAGACGGTAATATCTGGACCCTTGACCCGTGTACCTGTAGCTGAGACAGACGGTACATGTAATATCTGGACCCTTGACCCGTGTACCTCTAGCTGAGACAGACGGTAATATCTGGACCCTTGACCCGTGTACCTCTAGCTGAGACAGACGGTAATATCTGGACCCTTGACCCGTGTACCTCTAGCTGAGACAGACGGTAATATCTGGACCCTTGACCCGTGTACCTCTAGCTGAGACAGACGGTAATATCTGGACCCTTGACCCGTGTACCTCTAGCTGAGACAGACGGTAATATCTGGACCCTTGACCCGTGTACCTCTAGCTGAGACAGACGGTAATATCTGGACCCTTGACCCGTGTACCTCTAGCTGAGACAGACGGTAATATCTGGACCCTTGACCCGTGTACCTCTAGCTGAGACAGACGGTAATATCTGGACCCTTGACCCGTGTACCTCTAGCTGAGACAGACGGTAATATCTGGACCCTTGACCCGTGTACCTCTAGCTGAGACAGACGGTAATATCTGGACCCTTGACCCGTGTACCTCTAGCTGAGACAGACGGTAATATCTGGACCCTTGACCCGTGTACCTCTAGCTGAGACAGACGGTAATATCTGGACCCTTGACCCGTGTACCTCTAGCTGAGACAGACGGTAATATCTGGACCCTTGACCCGTGTACCTGTAGCTGAGACAGACGGTACATGTAATATCTGGACCCTTGACCCGTGTACCTCTAGCTGAGACAGACGGTAATATCTGGACCCTTGACCCGTGTACCTCTAGCTGAGACAGACGGTAATATCTGGACCCTTGACCCGTGTACCTCTAGCTGAGACAGACGGTAATATCTGGACCCTTGACCCGTGTACCTCTAGCTGAGACAGACGGTAATATCTGGACCCTTGACCCGTGTACCTCTAGCTGAGACAGACGGTAATATCTGGACCCTTGACCCGTGTACCTGTAGCTGAGACAGACGGTACATGTAATATCTGGACCCTTGACCCGTGTACCTCTAGCTGAGACAGACGGTAATATCTGGACCCTTGACCCGTGTACCTCTAGCTGAGACAGACGGTAATATCTGGACCCTTGACCCGTGTACCTCTAGCTGAGACAGACGGTAATATCTGGACCCTTGACCCGTGTACCTCTAGCTGAGACAGACGGTAATATCTGGACCCTTGACCCGTGTACCTCTAGCTGAGACAGACGGTAATATCTGGACCCTTGACCCGTGTACCTCTAGCTGAGACAGACGGTAATATCTGGACCCTTGACCCGTGTACCTGTAGCTGAGACAGACGGTACATGTAATATCTGGACCCTTGACCCGTGTACCTCTAGCTGAGACAGACGGTAATATCTGGACCCTTGACCCGTGTACCTCTAGCTGAGACAGACGGTAATATCTGGACCCTTGACCCGTGTACCTCTAGCTGAGACAGACGGTAATATCTGGACCCTTGACCCGTGTACCTCTAGCTGAGACAGACGGTAATATCTGGACCCTTGACCCGTGTACCTCTAGCTGAGACAGACGGTAATATCTGGACCCTTGACCCGTGTACCTCTAGCTGAGACAGACGGTAATATCTGGACCCTTGACCCGTGTACCTCTAGCTGAGACAGACGGTAATATCTGGACCCTTGACCCGTGTACCTCTAGCTGAGACAGACGGTAATATCTGGACCCTTGACCCGTGTACCTCTAGCTGAGACAGACGGTAATATCTGGACCCTTGACCCGTGTACCTCTAGCTGAGACAGACGGTACTAGTAATATCTGGACCCTTGACCCGTGTACCTCTAGCTCAGACAGACGGTAATAGTTGGACCCTTGACCAGTGTACCTCTAGCTGAGACAGACGGCATTATCTGGACCCTTGACCCGTGTAATAGTCTGAGACAGACGGTAATAGTTGGACCCTTGACCCGTGTACCTCTAGCTCAGACAGACGGTAATAGTTGGACCCTTGACCAGTGTACCTCTTGCTGAGACAGACGGCATTATCTGGACCCTTGACCCGTGTAATAGTCTGAGACAGACGGTAATAGCTGGACCCTTGACCCGTGTACCTCTAGCTGAGACAGACGATATTAGCTGGACCCTTGACCTGTGTACCTCTAGCTGAGACAGACGGTACATGTAATAGCTGGACCCTTGACCTGTGTACCTCTAGCTGAGACAGACGATATTAGCTGGACCCTTGACCCGTGTACCTCTAGCTGAGACAGACGGTACATGTAATAGCTGGACCCTTGACCCGTGTACATCTAGCTGAGACAGACGATATTAGCTGGACCCTTGACCCGTGTACCTCTAGCTCCACAGTCTTTACAGACGAGCAGGTCTTCCGCCTGTCCGAGTCTGTTATGTCCGGACGTCTGTTTACAGTAGTCACACCACATCATTGCCTGCGGGACGGACGCCGTCACATTCCAAGTCACCGGGGGCTCGTAACTGTAGAATCTCTTCAGTTTCTGCAAAGACAAATCTATCATCAGTTGGCGAAGAAAAATTAACAGACTTCAATAACACACGCAAAACACCTCATCAACCTGTGTTACAAATGTAAACACCTCATCAACCTGTGTTACAAATGTACGCAAACACTTTAAATAAATAGGTAAAAATAAATTAGATAAATGGGTTCGATATACACCTATCACCAATTTATTTTAATCGCTGAACTTTAAAAAAGAGGTCAGAGGGCCTTTACAGCTCACATAGTTTGCATTCCACTTCCATGTGATCTTGGGAGTTGGTCAAGGTAATTCACATGACATACTATTGTATAGCACTGTACGCCAGCAATCTACAGAATACTATCATGTCTCTCTACACCTTAGTAATAAACTTGAACTTAAACTTTAACACATCCAAAGACTCTTAGCCTCATAGTTCTGAAGAAGAAAATGTTAAAGGGGCTGGTCGGGGAATAAATGTCATATTTGCTAAAATGGCATACACATGTTTAAAATACTTCTTATGAAATATACCGATTCAAATTTTGCTTAAATTCACTCCCTAAGAGTAAAAATTATAATTATATTAAAGAAATCCTAAATCGTCACCCGACAGTCTAAAACTCTCAATTGAACCAGGTCAGTGATGTAATTTTACCGCATGCACGTCATCAACAAGGCCAAATGTAAACATCGCGGCGAAAGAAAAAGATGCATGCAAAAGTCATGACAGGCACGAGGTATCAACACCGTTATATATAACAACGACATATAGGTAGGAATACTACACGTGCATCATAAATGACCTTTAATGAAAACAATTATTTACGTATAGTATTGCTGTCTTGTCCGCTAGTTGAGTCCGACATGGCACATGACGCCGTGCTATTGTTGTTATCTTCATTGCCTCACTTTCGAAACAACCACGTGACATATATAAATTGATCTGCGTTAAATTTACGCTGGGCTTCCCCGATATTTCAGTGGTCAAAACTGGACATTGCAAGCAGAACTCGACCATCATATTGCCGTGGTATAACTTTTGGAAGGTCAGAGAACGCATTTAGACCCATTTTTTGTAATTTTTCCCCGACCAGCCCCTTTAAAGTGTATAATATGCTTCACCTTTGTTACATGTACCTTGAACGCGATCCAAGTAACTTTTCAGAAGCGTTATATCTAGCTCTTTACCCCGAACAAAACGTGAGAAATATAATAACTATGGTAATCATAATTATGAAATGTTTAATACATTCGACCTTTGTGACACTGAAAGTGGGTCGAGGTCGTTTACTTTAACAAACTTAATAGTCATTTTCTAGCACAACCTATGGGACATATTTTCTCTTTTCTTGCTTTCGAAATTCAATTTTTTCTGTTATTCTCCTGCTTCTTTTATTAATGTATATGGATGTTGAATCTAATCCTGGTCCGAGTTCTGGCGAGCTTTCAGTATTTCATCCTAACATTAGAAGTATTAGAAATAAGATGGATTATATTGAAGACATAGCAGGAGATTATGATATTGTATGTCTTACTGAAAGTCACTTAGATGACCATGTCCTCTCCGAAGATATACTTTTACCAGGATTCCATGCTCCTTTTAGACTAGATAGAAACTTTGCGGGGGGTGGTGTTATTGTTTATGTTAATAGTTTGTTAAAAGTAAACCGCTTAGCAAACCTTGAATATCATGGCGACGAAGCAATTTGGATACAAGTCATCTTACAGCATACCAGTTTTATTATTTGTACCATATACAGACCCGAAAATTCAGTCTTACCGTTCTGGGATAATTTGCGAGCATCTATATATAATGCTTTCGACATTTCACCAAATTTAATCATTACTGGGGATTTTAATGTAGACTTGATAACTGTTGCAACAAACCATGTTTTCTTAGATATAATTAGTTCTTTTAGTTTATCAAATGTTATACTGGAACCTACACGTATAGGTCAGACTAGATCTAGCTTACTCGATCCAATTTTCTTAAGCGATTCTTTATCCTGTATTGACTCCTCTGTCATAAATATAGATAGAACAGTCAGTGATCACCAAGGCTGTATTGTTAGTGTAGAACTACCATGTGCCTTTAAATCTGTGTATAAACTTAAGGTCTGGTTGTATAAAAGAGCCGATTTTGTAACGTTAAATAATCTTATATCACAGTACGACTGGAACGGGTCTTTTCTAAACTGTGAATCAGTGGATATTGCTTGTGAAACCTTTACTAATGTATTTATAGAATTTGCTACAATGTGTATACCTACTAAGGAAGTTATGATCAGGCCAAACGACAAACCTTGGATGACTTCGGATTTAAGAAAAAATATAAGAAATCGAGATAGGTTACATAAAATTGCTAGGAAATCAAATCGTCTTCATGACATTCAAAAGTTTAAAATATGTTTAAACTTTAAACTAAACATATTTCATTATTCTAGGCTTTATGGTTATATCTAAGATCTTGATAAAAAAAACTATTTGCGAGGATATTAATACTCGAAAAGAACAATAACGTTTTTATTATGTACATGCATGGATTTGTCCGAATTAATGTTCCCGTAAAATTAAAATTGGTGATCGCCTCTCCGCGCTAATGATCTCGAACATGTACAGCTCGCTAAACACTTAATTACAGTATGTGTAATAAGTACAATATAACCACGAAACCGAGAAATCGAACGTTGGAGTTCCGGTGTGGCATTAATATCTCCACATTGTATGTACATAGAGTGTTGAATAAAGCTGAGGTCTTTTATTTTTTAGTGTTGGTTCATGATATAATAAACCGGGAAAAAATGTTTGTTTACGATAAATGCTTTGAGGGAAAAAAAACTTTAAACCGATTTTCCGATTCATTAACAAAACTTGAATAAATCCTATAAAAGCAATATTTAAAACAAATCAATCATGCATGACCAGAGTTGTCAATTTCATACTCGATTAAGCTTGAATATCTTCATGATTTCCGGCATGACTCGGCGATTATAAGAATTGTATCAATCAGTTAGCCTAGTAATTCAGACTGAGGCTAACCCTAGTGACTGGTGTGAGATAAAGACACAATATATATATTGCTCGTAATACTAGCCTCCAATCACGCAATCAAGGTCCGGCCAGCGTTCGTCTGAGATCCCGGACATGGAGTTTAAATTACCGACGGTTAAACAAATGTTGTTATGTTAGTATGCATTAGCTAGCAGCAACATATGTGTAAGCATACAAACATATTATTGGCAATCCACGTGGCAGGCTACAAGGCAGAATTTCGATTCCGCGTTCGTGCAAAAAAATGCGAAACTACATGTGATGTTCCAAAACACTGACCGACTTCTAGACTGTATCGATCCCTGTTTATACTAGATTTGTATGGTCTATGTTTATTGATGTTTGTAAACAATGACATGTGTGAGTATATGTATTTATACACGTATGATAATTGTGTGTATCTTTGAGCAGTGCGAGCTCGACAGGAGAATTAATCGTATCTGTGTACACACAGGATGATATATTTATCAATACTACAACGTTTTTATGTAGATAAATGTAAATTCTTCTGAGATGCAACAATGCAATCGAAATAATTTCCCACCAGATAACCGCATTATATCACATGTAAATTTTTAATGTTGATATGAAACCCTGATTGTTAATGACGTCAATGACCGTAATTGACCCCGACATGGGATGGATAGATTCTTAATTATGTCAAGAACAATTGTGTGACCCCTAAAGGTCAATGTAGTTCCGTCTTACGTTGTTTTTACTGACCAAGGTGTACTGAAGTTGGTAATATTAACATCAGAGTGACCTAGATTTCTAAATAACACGCACAAAAACTATCCCAAAACTATCGCTTTTCAATGTTGTTTTAGCTTATATGACCGAGAACTGGAATAACCCTTCTGTGTGTTTTGAAATTTGCGTCACATTATATCCTTACTGTATCATTCTGTTACAAATATCCGTTGTACAACCCAATTTTTATGAGCAATATCACAATTTCTTGTCGTACAACTCCCGGGTAAATGTCATTACTATATTCTGATTACAATAAACTTTTAAAATAAACGACTGTATTAAGCTAAATATACAAACGCATGCCACAGCGAACAAAACGTCACAGAAGTGAAAGTCAACCGCGTCAGTTTTTATAGTTGACAAAACTAATTAATAAACCATTAGAATAATAAACACATACATTTTATTTTTACAAAGTTAATTTAGCTGTTGATTCTATCGGCGCCATTTTCATGTGAGCGGGAAGTCTGATGGATTGTTAATAATGTTAGTATAGAATTTAAAAATATTCAATTATTTTCATAAATGAAAACATATTTGCCGCCTATTGCCATAATTGTGATCTACTAGTCAAGCAGCCCCTGAACAGACGCGCGTGCACTTTTAAACAACGCCGTCAGATGTCTTGTTCTCCGAGGGGAAATCCCTCGCAATATATAGCATTGTCTTATTGCTGAAATTGAATTAAATCCGTAAAATTATAATTTTATCATTTGAATAACTTTCTGCGATCGTGCAGACGGTTGGTAATATCGCCCGGTCTGTAGGAGGCCATAACTTAATACAATATGTCGGTCCCAATTAACTACGCCATCTACACCAGGGTTTATAGAAATCGAGCACGTTAAACGTAATTAATCTCCATCAATTTCAGATGAACTCGGATACACGATTTCGGTTACGTAAGATGTCAAATCAGTTCAAATTAAACTTCTGGGAATTTAAGGAATGTCAGAGGGAATGTTAGGTTTACCCAATCGTTCAATAACGCTGATGAGCTTTTTACTTGAACTCTAAAACCTGTGTCTGACCCGTGTGAATATCTACTTACTACCCGAGGGATAAGAAGGTTGAAAATAATCTGGGACCGAATTCTTACTGCTAAGCGAATGAAATATCTGACAAAGATACATGTAGTTCCGAAGAAGATGAATTCAGAAGTTAACAATCCTTCATTGTAGATATTATATGCTATGCCCCAAATATAT